CTAAGTAGCTAATTATAAATTATCATACTAATACATGTATTGTTCTATGTAGCTTCTTTCTAACTTTCGTATAATTTCGGTGGGAAGCTCCTTTGGAATTGATAATGATGTTTGATGTTCCATTAGTTCCATGTCGTTATCGCTTTTGGTGCTGAGTATCTCATTATATTCTTCTTCTTATTAAGTGGTTAATTTTAGTTGGCCAAATTTTCTTCTTTATGCATTAATGCAATCTTTATGGTGTCCTCAGCCAATGAATGTCCATGGTCTTCAATTTGAAATCTTGTCGTGCTAAAAACACTCTCTGAAATTACTGGTGATGCTTGAATAGCCAATACATCTCGAGCCATTCTTGAAAGTATTGGAAATGCCTTCCACGCCCCCTCCACCATGCTAAAAGTCGCTCTTTGCCTTCTTCGTCTTTAATAGATTTCAATCACCGATTAAGATAAACATCAAGTTCTTTTTCTGTACCAGTTAAATCAAGACTTAGACCTATTAACTCCTTCGTACCTTCTCACACTTTATCTTCTACTCTACCTTAGAAGTTGAAGGAGGACGTACACTGTTAGCATAAATATGTGTGTGTGTGTATGTATGTATGTATGTATGTATATATATATATATATATATATATATATATATATATATATATATATGTGTGTGTGTGTGTGTGTGTGTGTGTGTGTGTGTGTGCTAGTTTGGTATTCTTCGACAGTTGGCAGTTCAATTAATGTAAGTTTCAAATTCTCATAAATTTTACGAACAAGTTCTTTGAACCTTATAGTTTTAAAGATGGATTAAGTATAGTAGAAATTAAATAAACGATAGGAACATGATAAAAATACTTTTTAAATTTTAAAAAAATTTCTTCAACAGTTGGTGCATATGCATCCAATTTTGTATAATAGTAGGATGGTATACCAAAAAATTATTTTATAGCATACCAAAGATTTATAGAAATTTAGTAAGCTCTTGAATTCATCCCAACTGGACTCGACAATTTGATCAATAAAGTTAGCATTATGTGCCTTAAATATCATTGTATCGAAAATTGATAGACATAAGCAATTTTTAGCATTTCGTAAGTAGAATTCAATACAGCACAAACTTATTTTGGAGCTTTTCTATATGGAAGTTCAGCATAATACATTGCTATTTAAATTCACGAATTTTGCTCGTTCTATTAGCACGAAAAATGAAGGAATCAATATATTATATTTTAGCACAAGAAGCGGCAAATAAATCCTACCATCTTTTATAACCAAATTAAAAATATGGCATGCACATCTAACATGAAAAATTGAGTTATAAAGTGGGAAAATTTTAAATTTAAAGTTATTTGTTGCAGTGATATTAACAGAAACAGTATTTTATGTGATAGTGAATATTTTATCGATAAGACTATAAAATTGAACAATTTCTAATACAGTTCTAGAAATATATGCTAACATGTATTTTTCATCAATAAATTTATAACCAATAATTCGTTTTTGCAAATTTCAGTTATGTTTAATCCAATGACATGTAACAGTTAAATAATTATTATCATTAGGACTACGATATATATCAGAAGTGATAGATATTTTACAATTAAGTGGTGAAATGCACAATATATATACGGAAGATAGTCACTCTGAAATCTAAAAATATTATTTCTAACTATATTCTAGAAAAATCTTGAAAAGCATAATTATACATTTCTTGTATATAATGCACAAAGCCGAGGTGATAAGGAAAACTAAAAGGTAAGTCACAAACAACGATCATTTTTGCTATATTTTTGCGATATCTATATTTGTTATATGGACGTTGTAAATCACCAGTGGTAGGGTTTAACTGTTGTTGGACATAATTAGAACCCAGGGATGCACTAAGAGCGCTAATAACACCACTAGGATCCGGTACTAGGTCGACATCTATTCGAGCTTGTAATCATTCAGCTTTGTGTTTTTGCTCGAAGTGTCTCCATAAACCCCTGTACTATCTGCTCTTTCGCTGGATCCATGTGCAGATTGTGATCTACATTTGTTATAAGCAGCAACAATGCATCGCTATCGAGAGTAAAAAGCAGTCATACAAGTGATTTTCTCTTACGTGTTACCTAAACATTACCCAAAATAGGAGAAGGTCGAGCTCCAAATTGAGATTGAGTCTAAGTTAGAGCTTTTGTAACTGGATTAGATGATGTTTCATCTAATTTGTCTTCTTCTTTCTCATAAAAGTTACCAAAATTATTGCCAAATTGTCTTTTTAAAGTTTTATTATTTAGTAGCTCCTCCAAATTAATATCATAAAAGTCGGCGAGTTAGCTAAAAGAAGTTTTATCAACATGAGTATAATCTTCTACACGTTTCTAGTTTCAGGAAGAGACTTAAGAATATTACAAGAACTAGCATATTTACTATTTTTTTTATATATAAAATGGTTGTGTATGCCTAATATATTTTTAGGAGCTATAATTTTAAAAATATAATAAAATTAAACTTTAATTTAATTAAGATATAATAAATTAACTTAAAATTTAACGAAATTAAGAGATAGAACCGTTAACCATAAATAATATCCGAAACTTGAAGCTTGAAATTTACTCTAAACCCAATTACTGAAAGCTTAAATGATTAGAAAATTTGAGAGAGAGAGAGAGAGAGAGAGAGAGAGAGAGAGAGAGAGAGAGAGAGAGAGAGAGAGAGAGAGAGAGAGAGAGAGAGAAAATTAGAGAATTATGGGGAAAATGAAGAAGGATGGCGAGTATTTATAGTTTAGAATTAGGGCCAAAGTGTAATTTAATAAACTTAAGAATTAAAATAAAAATTGGGGNGGGGGGGGGAGTATAGAGGGTTGTTTTAGCAATTTTTGGCCGTTATGAACGACTAATTTTAAAATTAGCCATTGGCCAACGACTAATTTTGAAATAAGCTGTTGGCCAGCGACTAATTTTGAAATCAGCTGTTGGCCAATGACTAGTTTTTTTTTAGAAAAATTAACTTTTTTAAATAATTTGACAGGAATCGGGCCGACATAAATCTTGGATATCAGGACCCATACCATGACTTAAGGGTGTCAATGGTTAGGTTTGACCGGTTATTTTATAAAATTACGATATCAATTTTTCGGTTATTCTATTTTGTATAACCAAAATCAGACCTTTTGACGTTTCCCAATCATCTCGGTTTCTCTTTGATATCGCTGCGTTCGGTTAATTTTTCGGTATTTTTTTTAAAAACGTCATGCAAGAGTCATTAGTCGAAGTTAGATTGCGATAAATATATACTTGCACTGGACTTTGGCAAAACTCTCTAGACATTTTACTATTTTAGAAGTGATGATCAAAGAAACATGAAAGATGTCCGTAATAAGGATTCATTCCAATATTCTATGGCAGCGTAAAATAATTAAGCATGACAAGAGAAATATAAATCATACGAGTGAAAAGATATTAATCAAGTTGAGACTCAAGGATAGAGCTTATTAGGAGATTAATATCCATCAAGTGAATTCTAAATCATACTAGGGGAAAGATATCCAATACTTTATGGCTTGCTACTCAAGATTGCTGGAATACCTAGTGGCTTGCTACTTAAGATGTTATAACTAATTTAATTTCGATAAGAGTAATATAGGTTTGGAAGCTAGGACTTTTGGAGATTAACTATTTTGGTCACTTGCAACCATTTTCATAATCCCAAGACACAAGAAAAAACTTAATGCCTTTTCATGTAATTTATTTGATGTTTTTTTGGTTTATCTTTTATAAAATAAAAAATCTACCCTATTATTTGGTACAGTTATAAGTTTATAGGAAAACCTAAGGTCCGTACAGCTCGGTTCGGTCAATTTAGTCTGTTTTTAAAGCTCCATTGACACCCCTACCATGACTCATCCTCGGCCACCCTCCCCATAAACGGTCCCCTCTACCGTAACTTGGGACCGGGATGAACCGGGAGTGAATAGGCCCGGTACCGAGACGTATTAGGACGTCCTCTCCCATTAGACAACCATAATTTTATACGAGAAAAATATAGAAGAAGTATACTCCCTTTGGTCCACTTTATTTGATTGTTGGCCTTTTTTTTTTATGTCCACAATATTTAGTTTTTTCCAGATATCAAGAAAAAATTAATTTCTTTTTTCCAAAGTTGCTAAGTAAATAGCCTAGGAGTATTTGTTATATTTTCAATAAATAAATTAAGATTACTATGGTCAATTCAATTGTTAAATAATATTAAAAGATGAATTTCTTAAATGTGTGAAACCATCCAAAAAAATTAATTAAAGTTGACCGTCCGAGTAATAAAGATTAAAACAGCAACCTAACAAAATTACCCTCATTGCGGCATTACTAATTTTGACATAACAAAATTGTCTTTGACCCAAACTACGCCTAAGGGGTCGTTTGATAGGAGGTATTATAAGAAATAATGCAAGCATTAGCTCTTTGCATTACTAATACTTTGTTTGGTATATTTTTTTTATATAACTAATACTTGTATTAGTTATACATCATACTTGGTGTTATACTATGTATAAATAATGCATAGAAAACCATGATATTAGTAATGCAAGAATTTTTAATACTTGCATGAATATGGTTAAAGACCTAATTGTCCCTCTCGAATCCCTAAAAACCTATGTCAAATACTTTCCCCATATACTTAGCAAACAGAGTTCCTTCTTCATTCTCCTCTTCAGAGATCAAAGTCACATGTTCATAGGTAAAAGGATTTTTAGTGATTTTGTTCTTTTCCCCCTCCTTTTGGACGACTGTATCACAAGTTGGGTACATTTATTTCTCTGCTAAATAGCATAGTATCAAATTTATGTGTATGCAGTATGAATTTCTTATTCTGTTATTTATGCAGTTAATTTTTATAGTTAGAGTTAAAATTGTGGAGGGTACTTTTGTAAATATTTAATTTTTAAAAAATTATGCAATGCTTTAATACACCAAATCAAATCGCGAATAAGAAATAATTTTAGCATAACTAATGACAACTGAGAGCATCCAAACGACCCCCTAAAAGTTACCTGCAATATGAAACTGAAAAAGAAAGTACATAGGTGAATTGATTTTCTTGTAAAAACGCCAAGGAATATATCGCCTTTTGGAGCCGAATGCGAAACTCGTTTTACTTTTCTCGAGAATTAACAACACTGTAAGCTGAAGAGTAAGGGAAACAACAATGATGATCTTGTTTTTGATATTCCTTGCTATCTTCATAGCTTTCTTCATCAAGTTCCTCACTGCTGATGGTAACTACTCATTTCATATGGATACATACTTCTATTTGAATCTGATTGTTGATCAAAGGATTGAAATTTCAAAATTTTATTATCTTATCAGCGGACTTTACATTACTCTCCAAAGGGAATGTCAAACGCGAAGAAATCGAAGATAAGGTTATCTCATTTTTGCCCTTCACCTCATACGTCTGAGTTTCTGTTGTTTGGAGTACTGTTGTGTTGATTTGTCTAGTTTACTCTCAAATTTTGAGCCGATACTTTTTATGTGTTTTTCTAATTATTTATTTATTTTCTTAATTTTGAATTTAAGTGCAGGTTATTTGGGTTACCGGAGCTAGTCGCGGAATAGGTATTTGGTTTTTAGGATGTTCTCTTTCAGTTTATGATGATTTAAAGTATTTTATCTTATTTACTTATTTATATGCAACAGTTGAACTTACTACATACATAACAGTTGAACTTCTCATCTTTATACCATGCCCATTGGCCAAGAAAGCTGTCATAAGTTTGTCATCTCGTGTTAATGCTGTTAATCGAGTTAGTGTCACTCTCTCAAGAAACTAATTTGTTTGTATATTTGGATATTGGTGAAAAGGGGAGATTCTTGCCAAACAGCTTGCAAGTTTAGGGGCTAAGCTCATTATATCTGCTAGAAATGAAGCTGAGCTACAGCGTGTCAAGCAACAACTTATAGGTAATGCGTTCTCAATGATGCAGAATAAGCATCAATTTCTTGCTTGAGTGCTTACTGATCTTTAAATCCCGGTTTTTATTTCGGCGTTGTTGTGTCTATTAAAATCAGGAAAATATGCACCAAGAGATGTGATGATTTTACCACTGGACTTGACATCCGGGGAGGAAAGTCTGAGAGTCGCTGTAGAGAAAGCTGAATCATTTTTCGATGCAGCTGGAGTGGATTATATGATTCACAATGCAGCCTATGAGCGACCAGTAAGTAGACAATACTTATGATAAAAAAGCCACAATTAATTGAACTTTGACTATTGGCCATTTAATTCCCTTGAATGTGACTCATATTTCAGACCAGATATTCTTTTGTGCTTTCATTTGGATTCAGTTCATTAATTTTGACATTATTCCTTATGGTCGGAAGGGCACGTTGTGAACTAACTCATTTCATGGAGTTCTCTTACTCAGAAACGTTTCAACATTTAATACAATATATTATTAGTAAATCTGTGAACATCAAGGATATTCAATTCTTTTGCTAGTCCTATAAAGCATAGAACAAGAGGATGTTTTAAGGAATTGGAAACTTTAATGTTTTATGGAGATGCTTTGGTAACTATGTTCTATTTAGCATTTCAATCTAGAGAAATTGGGAACTTCTGATATCGGTACTTATCAGTCTTTATGTTTAACTTTTGTGCCTCTCCTTTTTGGCTGGGCATGAAGCAAAAAGATAATTAGTCCAGTTTGTTATATAATTTTATGAGGTCACAGAGGAAGCAAATGTAGAAGCAACACCACTTTCACACTTAAAAGTTTCCTAAAGAAAAGAAAACTTCAAATTTGTGGAAATTCTTTTAAGGTTGAGGGTTGACACTTTCTTAGGATGTTGATTTAAAACTTTAATTATTGTTCATTCTGGCTGGTTCCAATTTAAGCTAGTAAATTTAACCTTGAGTTCCCTTTTAAATTCCTTTGTGCTAAATCTTTTATACTAACTACTACTGGAGTACACGTGGAAGGATAGGAGGAGAGAGAGAAATGACTATAAAGGATCAATTGAAATTTGCAACTTTCTTGTTGTAGCTTGCAGAACTTTAACATCTGGGTTTTCTTTGAGTTTCTGTTTGAATTGATTTTAGATCATTGTTAATGTTATGAAGATGTAGTTAAATGTTACGTTCTTCTTTATTCCAGAAATCTACAGCATTGGATGTGACAGAAGAAACTCTCAAGGTATCATCTTTTATAAAGATTGTTGTGCAGATAAGGTCCATATCCATGCCTAAGCCTATAAAAATCCAACATGCTAGTCTGTTCATGGGTTTTTTTCTTAATCATTTCAATCAGAGCTAGCAGCCTTGTAATTCAGTAAATATGCACCCACAATCACAACTAATTTGTTCTAACAGAAGATGTTAAAACACGAGAAAGTGTTTGTCAACTGCTATACTATGTCCACAAGAAGGATAGTCTTCAGCTATTATTGTTTATCTGTTGGTTTCCAAAGATAGTTTCAGCTAGTAATACGTTCTTGCAAGACTATTTTGCCTTTCAGTGACTTTCATAAGCAATTGGCTTAAGGAAAGAAGATATATCTCCTGATTTAATTATCTATAAAAAGAATGGTCTGTATATCCTTAGTTTGCAAAATTTAGGATAGTCTATTTGAGGGCTTAGCTTTGGAGTTCTGGAGATATTCTGCAATGTGAGATTGAAGGCTTATTCCAGGCTGATTTCAAGACCCTTGAGGTCCTTGAGGCAGTATCAAATAGAGAATTCAAAGTCGTGATGGATAAAGAAAGCTAAGTTTGTGCCCAATAGCCTCCCTTGAAATAGAGGCTCAATATCTTGCTTACCTTACACGTCATGTGCAGAATAGAATGGTCAAATCCAGGGTAATAACTCCAATATGAAGTGGATGACATTTTAATGAGAGGACGGTAGTTTGTTCTACTCTGCGTGTCATCCAAATGTGGAGCGGCTTTGCATTTGAAAGGTCTGCCTGAATCTCCATTATCTTTAGTTAGGTTTACGGGCCAACACTGAGTTCATATGAGTAAATTGAATAGTTTTAAGGAGTCGTATTGCTTTCAAGTCAAATGAGGAGAGAGCCAGAATTTCTTATGCTGAAGGACTTGATTAAAGAAATGGAGGAGGCAAAAAATTGTAGATTGTGCAAGAAAGAGAGTTTAGGAGGCCAGGACACCACCGTCATAAAAAAATAAAAAAATAAAATAAAAAAAGAGCTTAGGAGGCTTGAGGACAGATTGAACTAGTACAATAATAGCAGGAAGATGGAAAGCCGAAGATTCCAAATCAATAGTTGGAAGAAATTGTAATTGTCGCTCACTGTTTTGATTTCTGAATATACGTTGCTCGTGCTGTTCTTGTAGGATTTGTAGAATCTAGCTTGTAAGAGATGTCAATTTGAGGTGTAATTAGCTAGATACTAAACTGATTTTTTTCTTCTGAATTTGGTGACAACCCGGCTCAGTGCACAGCTTTATATATATAAATTCCTGTAAGAAAAGAACTGTTTCCTGTGGTGGCTCATCATTCAAACATGTAAGTATCTTTTGTTATCATGTCATCCCTATAGCGGGTACGAGTAATTTTAAGGAGTCTCTTTTATTTCAAAAGAGGGGGTTGTCTTTTACTCATGCAAATTCATATAACATGCTACAAAGACTTGGTTAATGAAATGAAGAGAGAGGCGAAACTTGGAGGCTAAGAGCAAAGAGAACTGAGGTTGATCAGAGAGTTCACAACTACCACAAAAGCAGGAGAATGGAGGGCAAACGGAATTCAAGCAACAGCGAATAAATTATAGATATTACTTCAAGTTCATTTGGTCTCTAAATATACCTCGTGTGGGCCTCGTAGTTTTCTAGATGTCTAGCTTGTAAGAGTTGCCAGTCTTCGGTATAGTTAGCTAGGTGCAAAAGTGTTATTTTCTTATTGCAGGCCTTTCCTGGTGCAGTTCTTAATATATTAACTTTTTTCTTCAAAAGGGGAGCTTTTTTTATCTCCTGGTGGAGACTTTCATCATCTAATGTATGAGCATCTTTTGTTATTTTTACCTCTACAGAGTGAATTATCAGAAAAAGAGTCCCGAGGCTCTTATGACTCTTGTTTTAGTTTCTTTGAACTGGCCGGCATTGGTTCAGTTTTTGTGTTTGAACTATTCTTATATTAGTGTTTTCTGTTCTGAATTTCCTGTCCTTGTGGATATCCATCTACCCACTGCGACTTGATAATATATGACATTCGGTTATGCATTTATGCCCTCATTGTGTTACTTCAAATACTCATATTGTATCTGATCTGTTAGTAGGCAACGTTAGATGTGAATGTTGTGGGCCCCATATCGCTGACGCGGATGCTTGTACCTTACATGCTGAAGCGGGGAAGAGGACATCTTGTTGTGGTAAGTAGAATGATCAGAGGTGCTGTGCATTTTGGTGACTACAGTTTTCTTGATGCCATAACCTGATAGGATATTTGTTCCGGCCAAAAATCTAATAAATGATCAGACATGCAAAATAAAACTTTTCAATCTCATAAATAGTTCACCAAGTTATACATCCTTTTTTTCTAGGCAAAATTCTCTTGGGGATATGCAAGTGAAACTCGACTAAGTCCTTGATCTAAAATCAATATGCCTGACATCATAATTCTCGGGGAAAAACTGTGATTTATCATTTTCTTATGTGAATCAGCTGGTTGCTTTTTTGTATACCCTCGTGGCAGGATAATGGATAATTTGTCCTCCTTTGTATTTCAATTTCGTTGTAATTATGTGCCCAAGAGTTAGTCTCTGTATTTTATATACCCCTGGATGAAGGGAGGGTAGAAAAAATTCATTTGATTCATTTTTATACCCAGATGAGCAGTGCAGCAGGAAAGACTCCTGCACCAGGTCAGGCAGCGTACTCAGCTTCCAAATTTGCAGTAAATGGGTATTTCCACACCTTGCGTTCCGAGGTATACATCATAAATCATCTGATAGTGCCTTTCTATGCATTAATACAAAAATTTTAGTTGCTTTCTTCAAGGCTGCAAGATCTATTTGGATAATGGCTGAATTTGATAATATGTCTAAACATTTCTAGTGCCACAAATTGTATGCTTTTAATTATAGGTGTGAAGTGATAGGGGCCCGTCCAAGAATGTGGAATGTTATGTGCTTGGAAAAAGATAAACATGAAATATACTTTCTCCCATGGCCTAACATTTGTTTTTGTGGTCTAGCAATCACTTTCCATGACCTAACTTGAAGAAGACTGATTAAAAAACATGCTGGGTCTGCAGTCGCATTACTTAAGCTACATCATAGAGCACAAAAGGTTGCATCCTGTTGCATCTATCCTCCCTTGTGTACTCAAACTAGTTAAAGATCTCTGCTGTCCTCATCTTACTGATCTTCATTGAGTCCAGCAAATACTCTGTTCTTAGAGAACTGAGGAAGGATTACTTCCTAGCTATGCCTTCTCTACATATAAACATTTCTTCAAGCTTATGTGGATCCTATCTTTCTTGGATGGTGCAAGGCTTAAATTTTTGGTTGATACCATCATTCTTCTTAATGCTTTATGGACTCGTTGAAGCTATGTACTTCTCCTCATCACTTTTCTTTTCCTTTCTTAATCAATGAAATTATTCGAGTATGAAAATTTCATATGCACATGACAAACAATGTCCTTTTAAGCTGGTAACTGAATTTGGGCCAGTATGGTGTTTGATTCCTACATCCACATTATTATCATTATTATTCTAGGCTTCGTCAATACCTTCATCTATGTTCCAGAACCCTTGTTAGTATCATCTTATTGCTTTTACTTATCTTAGCACTAATCTTTTTCTTTTCCCTTTGCAGCTCTGTCGTAAAGGAATCAAGGTCACGGTAGTTTGCCCAGGGCCTGTAGAAACTCCCAATTCAAGAACTGGTTCAACTGAGGTGATTATCTTTCTCTTAATTTAGATTAGATGTTTTTGTTGCCGAATGTCTACAGTAATCCCACTCAGGCTGAGCAATGCTAGTATTCCATCTTCTGGAACTTCTAGACAGAATGAGGGATCTATTTTTAGATTTTCCAAGGAGATGAACCGTATACTGAGTGGAATTTCCCATACATCTGTTGTCATAAAACAACAACAACGAGCCCAGTGTATTCCCATAAATTGGGTCTGGGGAGGGGTGTGTACACAAACCTTACCCCTACCTTATAAAGATAGAAAGTTTGTTTCCCTACCTTATAAATGGGACATAAATGTGAAGTGCAACTCCTATCTAAAAGTTGGGCTTAGTTGTGATATTTATTCTCTCAGTGCTTGTGACAATGTTTTGAAGCATAATGTGATGAAATGATGGTAGAATTTTTTCCTTGCCCCTTGGACCTTTCATTTTAGGTTTCTGATCCTGTCATTTTAAAGATGGAGTCAAAGTTCAAAAATTATTAAGGAACTCTTATGAGGATGTACTTTTCCTTTAGCTTTCGAAAAAATGGTTAGTTTATGTTTAGTTGTTCAAGTCCATAATAGAGAAGCTATATTGTTGGCTTCCTCGCTGTTCATTATGGTTATTTGCTGTAAAGCGTAGCTTGGAGGATGATAGTTAGCAAATTCACTTACTTTGAGAATCATCTGTTCTCAATCTCTCCCCCTCTGATTTAATATTGTCTACTTCTCCAATCTTTTTTTTTCCTTCTCTCCTCCTGTCTTGTTAGCACAATAAAATCTCTCTCTTGGTACTAAAGCAGTCCTTCATAGGATAAGAACCCGAAGCCTATGCTGATGTTAGTATATGTGATAATCGTAATTCCGCCAACACATGCTACTGGAACTAGGAGTATTTTTTGAACGTAGCACATAATGCATTAAAGCTTTCATCTCTCTCAGATGAAATCTCTGCAACAATATTTTGCTACAATGGCACTCTTTGACGGAAAGAACAATTCATCTGATTTGGACCAGATAAATCTCTTCTCTTGACTATGCATATGCTTTCAGTATCAAGTTTCCTTTTCCTCACTTCTTTTAATACATTCATAGCATGTGAAGCATGTGGATAATTTTCGCAAATTGTCCTGTTAACTCTTTATCTTAAAATTATATACAGCGGCGTGTATCATCAGAGAGGTGTGCAGAGCTGACAATTATTGCTGCTAGCCATGGTATCAAGGAAGCTTGGATATCTTATCAGGTTTGATCAAGACATTTGCTTTAGCAGTTGTCTTTTCAGAATTTCGTTAATCATCGAGGTTCTGGCACATTTATCGTAATTTTAAATTGCTACAAGGGTGTATATGTGGGACTAGCAATTTAGCATAAAGATTATGTGACAAAATGCCGATGCTATAAAAATAGTCGTGATGTGTAGTTACATTTCTCTTGTAAAGAGTATGTGGCAATAATTCGTTTACACATGTATTGTTTATTTGTCCTTTCGTGTTTTAATATTCCTGTGATTACTTTCAAGTAAACTTACTGCCAGCATCACCTCTTTGTTTAGTTGGTTGAAGGTTTGTCCTGTTACAGTGTCCAATGTCTTTTAGCAATATATAACATGAAATATCTAGTAATACTCTTATCTGCTTTATTGATCGAGTGTCTAGTTGTCCCATTCAATTCACAGAAGTGGGACTCCTACTTTCGGTACTTCATATTACACTCTTAATCCATTCTGTACTCTTTTTCTTTAATACTAATTTCTCTTGCATATATGCAAATAGCAACTAGTAGCACTAATATTTTGGGTACTGTTGCAGCCTGTGCTTGCTGTTATGTATTTGGTGCAGTATATGCCAACGGTTGGCTATTGGCTTATGGACAAGGTACTATATGGTTATTGTGCAGAACTTTGGTTATTTCCAATTTGGAACTGTCTCGAGACTAATGGATTATGCATTTAAGTTGTATAGACTATTATAGCAGGTTCAGAAAAGTTGTAAATTTATATAACGGGTTGCCAACGGGTGCAAGTTTCGGTGGCCCTTAGGCCATTTCGTCTTTAAGTTATATGCATCTGACAATTAAAATTTTTTTTACACTGTACTTTGACATGTTATAGCAGGTTACTTATCATTCTTTTGCAAATCAATGCTTATTAAGTAGTAATTGATTGTGTAAATTCTTTTTTTTACATTGTCAGTGCATTAGCTCATCAGTCGTATTAGAACTCTAATATTCTGTTTGTTATCCAGATTGGCGCAAAACGTGTGGAAGCTGCTGCACAGAAAGGCAACACATACTCCGTCAACTTGCTCTTTGACAAAAAGAAGGAAAGCTAAAAGTCATGTTGGCAATGAGAATCATGTTTTCAGCGTTCTTTCTCCGTTTTCTCAAATATACCACCCCACCCCCACCCAGTCCCCCACAAACCACATATGTTCCTCGTTGAAGGAGTTGATTTGGAACTTAGAGAAATGCATCTGATAATGAGCACCGTTTTACTTGCTCTCTGTTATTCGCTAGTCTCTAAAAGCGTTACTTCTCTTGGTCAGTCGACAGTCAGGCTATATGCAAATGTGCGAAAGAATGAGAGTAATTTATGCTTAATGTTTTGAACGTCATATTCATCAAGTCTAATGTGTAATCATTTTGAGATGTGGCTCCTTTTTGCAATTGATCGTGGGAGTTGATAACAATCCTAGTCTTGTCATAGCTTTTACACGTGAAAGTAACTTGCAGAATTCCTATAAATTAAAGAGAAATTTACGTAAAGCACTATTACGGATTGTAGATACGTTTTCTATTGTTATAAGATGTATTAGATGTATCTAAGCTACCATTTGCTATATTACGGATTGTAGATACGTTTTCTGTTGTTATAAGATGTATTAGATGTATTTAAGCTTCTGTATTCATGAATACAGTAGCAAAAATAGGCGTGAATTAGGGAAGTTTAGCTAATCAGTTGTTGTATTCGACTGTATTCATGGCGTGAAACATGGGATTACAGTTGGATAGATTATTGTATTCGACTGTATTCATGCCGTGAAACAGGGAATTACACTGTTTTTAAACGTAAAGTGAATCAATTAACATAATAGACTCCTAATATGACTCAACAAACTCAATTATAACATAAATTTTTTGTATTTCCAGTTATAAAAAAGATTCTCAACCGAAAAATACTTCAAAAATATAGCAATCTTCGAAAAATTATATAATACATTTGAATACATAAATTATATTAATTAAAAAAACATATGAATACATTCATGGCATATAGCGAGACAGTGAAATACAATGAAATACATAGAATATAGCGGAATACATTGAAATACAATAAAAGAAAGATAGTGCAGACAATGAAATACATGGAATACAACGAGATACATTGAATTACAATGAGAAAAAAGACAATGAATATAATGAAATACATGAAAATACAGTGTGATACGTTGAGAATACATTGAAATATATTAACGGAAAATGTCGCCTCGTCAAGAGGGCCGCGATTTTGACTCGAAACTCTCAAAATTTGGAGCACACTTGGTCTTGAAGATCTTTGCCCCTACTGCTTCGTTCCCCGGTGGTGCCTCTGCGAAAGATGCCATTTTTTGAATTTGGGGCTTTTTCTGATTTTCAGAAAGTATAACCTAATAAAAATAATGTTAGAAACGAACCCTTCTTTGATGATTTTAGGATCAGGTACTTGAGTAGAAGAACGCATAAGCTTTGAGATAAAGTAACGGAGGATTCCAATTAGGACCATAACAACTGAGAGCGGGATTAATACCCAGTCTCTAATTATTGTATCCAATACTAAATCTTCAGCCATTTTTTTTGAATCTGGTGTTTGTGATTAGAATCGGAATTTTGGTGGTGTACAAGGAAATAACAAGGAAGAAAAAGAGGAGAAGAAAGCGGCAAAAATCTGAAAGAATGAGAGAGAAAAATAATACAAAGAGTATTTTATGGCTTAAGGGTAGGAGGTAACCATAAATAGATATTTGGCTATAAAAATCAAAAGATAGCTATGGAATATAATTTTTTAAAAGGGTATTTATTAAAAATAAATAAGGTATCAACCTTTGCTATAGGAGGTAACTAATCCTAAATTAGATGGTACTCCCTCCGGTTCTTCTTAAATGATTTTGGTTCAAAATATTTGTCATTCTAGAAAATATTTGTCATTCAGAAATAACCTCTCTACTCCCTCGGGGTAGGGGTAAGGTCTGCGTACACACTACCCTCTCCAGACCCCACTAGTGGGATGTTACTGGGTCATCGTTGTTGTTGTCTAGAAAATAAACAAGATATTAAATATTTGTTATTTGATTTTACCCTTGCTACCTCAAGAAGGTTATAATATTAATTACTCAATTAAGAAAGAGATAGACTAATTTAGTTAAATAATTTTTTATGATTACCGCTAATTTTTTAGATGGGTGTATCCATTTAACTGAATTTTTTCATCAAAGTCCAAGAAAATAACAACTTTTTCTTTCCTTCCAGGCTCCAGAATGAAATCAAAACATTAAACTAGGGATAAAAATTACCAGAAGGAATAAGTAAACAATCTCCCCATACCAAATCATTGAGAACCTTTAAAGGATTTGAGAAAATGCTAAGACCAAGCTAATAGGATATCCATTCGAGTGTTTGACCATCCAAGGAAGGACTCACCTATTTGAGGAGCTTCCCTTTATGAGGAAATGCTTTTTCATTAATAGTTCGCTTAAGAAACGTAAATCATATTAACTTATGATACACCAAATTTTGTAAGGAATTGAGAATAAACAATAATATAACCATAAGCTCTTGCGAATAGATTTTACTCCGGCAAAAACAAAAGAAGAACGGGGAAGAATTTGCACCTTTTTGAAGGCATCCGTATTACGTAATTTATTTCAACTCAGACACACCATATACCAATATAAGCTATAATACCATAAAGGATCTTCTTTTGAAACCAAAATAGGAAAACAAAAAAAAAAAATCATGTAGCATTTGGTGCCTAGCTAGTTATAACAACAACAAACCCAATATTCCCACAAGTGGGGTCTGGGAAGGGTAAGATGTACACAGCCTAAGCCTTAGCCTTACCCCTACCCTTACCCTGGAGAGCCTAGCTAGTTAAATTTACATAATTTTCTTTCCAACTTTTCTTTTACATATTGTATTTAGAGTACAATAAAAATCAATTGACTACACTAGTGTTTGCTGCCAAACTGTACTTGTGCTTAAGGTACGACTTAATAAAAGGATCTAAGTCACCATCCATGACAGAAGTGATGTCAGAAGTTTCATAACCAGTCCTTACATCTTTCACTAGCTTGTAAGGATGAAACACATAGTTTCTTATTTGCTGGCCCCATTCAGCCTTCACTGCATCTCCTCTTATTTGCTTTATTTCAGATGCCCTTTGCTCCTCAGCAATCACCAACAGTTTAGCCTTCAATCGGCTTAAAGCTTTGATCTTATTTGCAAGCTGTGACCTCTCCTCTGTAATGGTGACATAAAAATCAGTACATGCTATATAACTACGCTGCGAGTTCCACAAATATGCCATGTCTACTCCAGTAGCAGCTAGAATATTATAATAGAGTTTTGCAATTAATAGTACTTCAGAAACTACTTGACAGCGAGAAACTCAGACAAGAAAAATGATCTTTGCCCATATTTTTTAAATCTTACAAGGGAAAGAGGCAAAAAGATGGGAAGTGAACAAAAAGACAACAAGCTAAGATCAAAGGTAGCATCATGTATAACGATTTTACTACTCTAATCTCTCTGAGTCCATCTGTCAATGTACGCCACAAAGATCAAACATTTTATCCACCAAACCCAATAAAGGTACCCTCTCTGAAAGTCAGAACAAAATTTTTCGCTACAGATGTGCACATAATATACAGAGAAACAGGGTTTCAAAGAAGAACCTGTACAGCGAACAGCTACGCCAGTGGGAATATGAGTGATGCGAACTGCAGTCTCAACCTTGTTAACATTTTGACCTCCTTTTCCACCTGCTCTTGTAAAGCTGATATCCAAGTCTTCTTCAGGAATTTCAACATCCAATGAGTCTTCAGGAAGAAGAGGCATAATCTCAACGCCTGAGAAGCTTGTCTGCACAGTGGCCAGTTCAAAGATTTACATGTTGTCCAATGTATGTCAATGAGAAGAAATATTTGGTACGAAGATAGACTAAGATGCACGGTAAAATCAGATAAAGAGGTCAACGAAACAATGATACATTGCTCATTTTTCACACTGATACATTGGGAACTTTCACAAACAGAGAAACAAGAATAATTCAAAAATCTATTAAAAGAGCCCCCTCATCCAGATTTATACAGCATCTTTTCATTTGGCACACCCCAATATATTTGAAACTATTCACTAATAAAAATATTCAATGCAACTTCATAACTTTCACCAATTCAAATTTTTATTATAAAATCCATGTCCAGTCAAACAAAATCGGAGGAGGGAGTATTTTGTTAATATCTGTAATACCCGCGAAATTTTGAGCAAGCTCGAGTTTCAGTGACACTTAACCATGGGTGATGTGGGTGTATCATGAGCGGACGACTCTAGGTGAGCGTCAGGCTCGGACGACCAGGAAACTAGGTAACAAAATAATGTTGGCCGCAGCCGGACGCGTGAGACAAGCGGGAACTGTGATTCCTTGATGTGACAATAGCGCTGTAGAGTGAATATTTAAATGAATGGTCCACAAGTGAATATGTAACTAGCGATACAGTGACCAAGACCTAGAAGTCTGGACTATAAATAGAAAAGAATGGGATTCTTGTTCCCAAAGACAAAAAGCCGTGAATCTAGGCATCTGTCAGAGAGTTCCCGCCGTACATTTATGAGCATTCGCCCTATTTATGACCCATAAATGAGGATCTAATAAGCAAACACTAGGGTTTGCTTAGAATCTCAAGGTTCAAGAATATCTTCTAAAAAGGAGCAAAAGCGAGATTGACTACCAAAAAGGTAACACTTGTCTGAATCTCGAATAGATAATGTATTGGAGTATGAGTATAACATTCGCAAAGCGTATCTATGATTTTATTGAAATTAGAAACAATTAACAGTGGTAGCTGCGTGTTGAAATATGATGAACAATGTATGGGTATGTTAATCAGTCTTGTAAGACCATAAGTGGCACGAATACCCTTGATAACATGGAAATGGTGTGGGTGACTTGAGATATCGCCCAAGACCATGTATGGAGGTCTGTGAATGACATGTTTACTGTAAAAGTGTAGATTTATCCGTTGAAGACAAGTTGGGTCAATTGAAAGTCAGATACGTCAAGGTTGAGGTAAGTGGAGACCTAATCTTTCTTTAAGGCTTTTCCCAGAAGTACATGTTACAGACATTTTAAAGGTATGGTTTCAAAAGTGGACGTAAGCTCGTCCAGACAAGTGAGATTGCGTCTCACCAGGTTTGTGACTATGCAATGATCGAGCTACTTTAGGACTCTATGATATGTTCTGAAATGGAATACAAACTGTTGATGATATTACACAGTTAGCAATGATATTCATGAAATATAAATCTTTGTGGGTAGAAAGAAAACTGTCAAGTCTTGGGTTCGAATCCCAGCGTAGACAAAAATTACAAGGTTATTTCTTCCAATATGTCTAAACTTTGGGGGGACAGAGTTATGGAATTTGGCTATTGACCGGGATTGTTTCCTTTAGCATTGTTTGACTTCCTTGATGCTACTTGGCTAGGTTTTGGGCAATTGGAGGTCAATAACA